ATTAAAACAAGAATAATCAATTATAATCGATTAAAACTGATTAAAATCAAAAATAATCGAATAAAAGGCAAGAAGTCTGATTAAAATCGATTAAAATTGATTAAAATTCAAGGAATCTGATGAAAATCTGATGAAAATCGTCTCATTTTAATCGATTTTTAATCACAAAAAAATCGATTAAAATCCCGTTTTTTCTTGATTTATTTTTACATGGGTTTGATGATAACATCATCAGTAAATCTTGTGTAAAGCCGTGAAAAACTGTTAGAATTCCGATAAACCATACTGTTTTCGAAAGTAGACAACGAGGGCTATCAAACCAAATAAGAATCTCAAAATTGATTTTTTTGACAAAAATCGCGATTTTTGACATAGGGATGAGCCTTAAAGAATGTCTTTTTGCTCGATATACATCAGCTCATGTTAAAGGAATTGATGAGGATGAAGATGAAGATATGATTGTAGTTGATGAACGTGAAACAACATTTACAAATTTTAGTAAATTAGATACGTTAATCGATGCAAGTTTTCTTGTTTTCGTGATAAAACCATATAAATCACTTGAACATTTACCATCAACTATTGATCAAAGTGATGAATTTCAAATGCTTCCAACAATGATTCGATCCAGTCGTTCATGTTCAAATTTAACATCAGAAACAACAATTCGTTTCGATACAAATTATGCATTTACATTAGATGAAACAAAACATCAAATTGAAACTCGGAAAACAATTCGATCGGAACCAACAACACGAAGTCCGATGCCCACTGATAAAACACCAGAGATTCCTTCAGAACCAGCGAAAATTGCAGAAGTTAAGGAAAATTTCGGTAAGAAAAACAAAAGAAATTTTTCCAAATAAAAATCCAAATTTTTTAGAAGTAACTATCGATAAAAAATCTGCAGAAGCATCTGAAGATTTTAAATATTTTCGTAAAACAAATCGTTCAACAGTTTATGGACAAGCTGTTGCTACTGGTCCTCCATATACAGGGGTTGTCATAATTATAGACCCCCCTCATATGTACATAGAAAAATGTTTATTTTATTACAATAAGGAATGATATTGATCTGCTAGGTGCGCATCTACGTGAGACTAATTACGA